GGGAGGAGAGAGAAGGCTGTGCAGCCTGCATTGTGCTCCCCAAATCCATTTGCTGAAGCCTTAATTCCCAGTACTTTCCAAAGGGTCTGTATTCAGAGATGGAGCCCTGCAAAGGGGATTCAGTTAAACAAATGGGGGCCTACTTCAATCTCACTGGCATCCTTGCAAGAAGAGGAAATCTGGTGTTAGGGCTGGTGCTGCACCCCTGTGATCCCAGCACTCGGGAGGCTGAGGCCGGAGCTCAAGACCAGCCTGGGCTACATAGTGAGTTCAAGGCCAGCCTGAACTACATAGCAAGGCTCTGTTTTAAAAAAGGAAATCTATAGACACAGAGACATCCAACACACCACACACACAGAGGTAGGCAGAAGGTAGCTACCTGTAGCCTAGGAGAGGGGCCACGGAGAAACCAAAGTGTCCTTTGATCTTGGGCTTCCAGCCCCTGGAACCTTGAGAGAAAGATGTCTGCAGCTCTGGTGCTCTGTTCTGACTGTACAGGCATACAAGGAGGCCTCAACCTGGTCTCCTTCTTCCTCATAGTCTCAAGCTGACACCCACTGTTGCCCACACCTCCCCAGAGCCAGAGGGCTTGGGATAAGTGGGTGTATTGGGAAGGCGTCACCTCCAAAGCCTGGAGAGCTGGAGAAGGCAGACAGTGGACCATGAAGGGAAGACAGAGTGTGTCCAAAACATATTGCATCATAGGAGGGGCCACAGAGGCTCCTGACACCAGGGTTATGAATAGGACATAGGCTGGTATGATATGAGCTTGGTACCACTGTAATCAAGACTGGAATAAAAAAAAAAAGATGTATGGTTGGCAGGATTGTGGCTGGGCCCTCCCCACAAGCTTCTCTTTACCAATAAGGTTAAAATGTTTTTAGACTACAAAGAGATAATCCAGAGGTAGATTTTTTTTTGGTGGGAGTGGTATTAGAGATCGAACCTGGGGCCTTCCTGAGTTCATCCCTAGCTTGCTTGCTTCTTTTCCGTCCTTTCTTTCTTTCTTAATTTGAGATAGAGTCTCACTAAACCACTAAGTTGCCCAAGCTGGACTGGAATTTGTGATTCTCCTGCCTCAGCCTCCAAGAGTGCTAGCATTACAGGCAGGCACCACCATGCCTGGCACAGAGGCAGACTTTTCTATAGCTTAATCTAGTTCGGGCAGCAGCTGTCAGGTCAGATGGGCAGTGAGAGGACAGGTGGCTCCCTGAGAATATTTTAGGCCCATGCTTCTTGCACACATCAGCCCTTGGGTTCCCTTGTGGTAAAGGATAGACCAAGAGTGGGACCTTCTTGGGTATGACAGGCAATGTCTCCAGGCCTGGACTCCATCTCAGTGTGGGAGCAGCACTCAGGGTACAGCATAAAAAGGAACAGATGCTGGGGTGAGACCAGCAAGGCCCGAGGCTGCCTGCCGGACCTTTCTCCTCTGCAGCACTGGGGCTGACTGCACCTCGCTCCAGCCAGCCCCTCCCTGCCCATCCTCCCATTGGTCTCCACACTAGGAGGTGCTGGTTGACCTCAGGCAGGGCCAGATGAAAATATACTTGTCCCCTTGTGCACAATTGTAGTGGGGTCAATGCTTAACTGCTCCCCAAGCCTTCTGAACCCCTGGGAACCCATCAAGGGGAAAACTTGACACAGGAACACTGATCTCATGTATCGGATCAGGCCTGGTGATCAGAAAAGATGACACACAGATACCTGAGAAAGTGCAGGGACCGCTCGACACAGCTCAGCACAGAGGCCCCTGAGAGACAGCCCAGCTGCGGCCCTGGACAATGTGGAGTTCATGATAATCCACCCTCAGAATTGAGCACCTGGCATGCACATGCCAGACCCATGTGTTCTCCCAGTACCACCTCTTCTAACATTCCTGCTACTCCACAGGTGCCATGACTCTCCAGCATGTGAATGAGGGAAGCGGGACACAGAGGGTCAGGTAAGCAGCCTCTGACCACATGAATGACCATGGTACTGGATCTCTGCAGACCCCGGAGGGTGCTCTCCACGTCTCTGGTCTCTCCCTCTAGCAGTTCTCCCTCTGCGCACAGGAAGCAAGATCAATGCCCATGAGCAAGAAGCCTTCCTGAAAACAACAGGACTGGCCATGTGAAGTCCCCAAGAGCTCCTGGTCTCCTCCTGGCCACCCTGCCTCAGAATGATGAGGTTGTCCCCACAGAGAACAGACCTTCCTCCTCACCTCACTGGGGCGCAGCGATGCTCAGCGCTCCTGTGGCCCTGCCTGCCCAGAGGACCTACTCACCTGCACTCTGCCTGGGGTTCTCAGAGCTCCAAGAGGAAACATTATGGGCAGCAGTAGAAACAGCCCTTTTCTGAACACTTCAGCCTCCAGGATTTTCTTTTCCTTTTCTTTTTCTTTCTTTTTTTAGTACTAGGGATCAAACCCAGGACTTGTACCCTGAACTACACCTCAAGCCTTAAAAATTTTTTTTTCTGAGACAGGGTCTCACTAGGTCCCTAATTTCCCTGTGCTGGGCTCAAACTTGTGATTGTCCTACTTCAGCCTCTCAGAGTGCTGGAATTACAGGCATGTGCCACCACACCCAGGTTAACCTCTAACTGAAGCCCACTTGTTTAGGACACATCGGTCAAACACAGGACACAAGCTGAGTGCCCTCTGGGACAGAATAGCACTCCTCCCTGGCCACTGCGGCCCCCTTTCCCAGTATCTCAGATCTGGACAAGGAACAGCATGTCAGTGGCCCAGCTGTCTGGCTTGGAGGGAAGAGAAGACTTTTAATCTTCCTCTTCTGGAGCCCCAAAAGTGCCCTTTCTTAACCAGTTCCACATTATGCAGCCCTTGCCCCAGGTCACAGAGAGAACAGCGCCGCCATTGTCCCTTGATAGCAAGCAGGAGATGGCCAGCTGGCAGCAGTGGAGTTTTCAGTCCTCATCTTCTATACATTTGGGGAGCCCAAGACCTTCCGAGGCAAAACCCGACCGCAGATGCTCAGTAACTCACCAATGTCGTCCAGCGTGAGCCTGCACACAAAATAGCTCCTGATTCCCATGACGGTGTATACAGATACGAGGTCCCATAAAACAAGCAGCAAGGGGCATGTATCCAACAGGCACTTCCCATGATCCTTTTGTGTGTGCCCACGACAAGAACAAACACACCATAAGAAGCCTGCCAGTAGGATGGTATGTGTCGGGAGGGTGAAGTGGCTGTTATCTGAACCCCCTCATCTTGCCCTCCGAGGAAGTTTTTGAACCCTAAGAGGGAAAACCTTGTGATACAGAAAGTTAAGAGTACCTCAGACACCACATGAGGCAGCTACAGGACCCTCTTAAATGAGAGAGAGAATATACTTTTCTTACCTGTGTTTAAAAATGGATTCAAAGTGGCCTAAGCAATAAGAATGCTATTATGTCACATAACAAGAAACTGTGAGGTGGGCAGGTCCATCCTGAGGACCCAGGCTCCTTCCTCCTACCTGTCCTTCTGTCCTTGCTGTCGTCAGCTTCAGGCCTGTCGCTGCCTGCAGGGGCTCCATGCATGGCCTCCACAGGTAAGAGAGGCCGTCTCCTCCCAAGACAGACACCTTCACCTCCAGCATTGGCTGTGGTTTGGGTACCTGTCACTCATCCCCTCAGATTCCTGCATGGTGGGTTTGGTCTCCAGGATGGCTTTTGAAGTGGAGGAGACTTCAAGAGGTGGGGACTGGTAGAAGGTAGTTAGGTCATTCGGAGCACTTCGCTCAAAGGGATTAATGCAGTTCTCAGGGGACCCCAGTTTAGTCCTGAAAAAGGGGAGTTACTATAAAACAATAAAACAAAACAAAAACAGCATTTCTGTCTTACCAAGGGATCTCTACCACATGGGTTCCCACTGTCCTGATGCCATTGGCCATGATGCTGTCACCAAACACCAAGCAGATGGGGCTGCCCAGTCTGGGACTTTCAGCCTCCCAAATGTGAGCCAAATAAACCTCTTCATGAAAATAACATATCTAAGTGGGGTGTGGTGGTGCATGCCTGTAATCCCAGCACTCTGGGAGGCTGAGCAGGAGGATTGCAAGTTCCAATCCAGCCTGGGAAACTTAGTAACTTGAAAAGATACTGTCTCAAAATTAAAAATAAATATGGCCAGAGATGTAGCTCAATGCAAAGGCCCTGGGTTTAATTCCTATTACAGCCCAAATAAGTGATATGTCCAGCCTCAGACATCTCCTAATAGCAACAGAAAATATTTGCACCTCTTATAGACTTCCTCTTACATCTCATTGGCTAAAATTAGGTCACATGTCTATGCCTCAGTCAATCGAGTGAGACCACTCTGGCAGGTTGGAACCAATCAGGATCTAACTTCAAAGACTACGGGATTGCCCCAGCTGGCCTGAAACCCAGGGCTGGCTTCAGAAAGTGGATGCCTGCATTAAGACAGGCCTTGTTTGACCAGGGCCAATCCCTGGAGTTAACTTAACAAAAGGAACCAACCTTAGGATGTTTCTTTCTGTAGTTTACCGAAAGGCGCAGAGCTGTAGGTAACGGAGCCAAAACTCAAAGCCAGAAAGGAAACATGATGCTAAAGATAAACTGGGCTTAGTTAACAGTCGACACCAGGTCGGCCCCTTGATGGAGGGGCCTCTTCCTCTGGAGGCTGGTGGTTTCGTCATCCTGGAAGCGAAGGGTATGCTAATAGCTTCCCACACTTCACTGGGACCCATGAGTCCCCCTCTGCCAGCCTCCAGCCAGTGTGGCCATCACATCACAGCCACGCTTCCCTGCCTCTTCTCTACAGAGTACCTCCAGAAAGTCTGACAGTTCTTTCTCTGTCTGCATTTGATTTATGGCTGCCATTACTCTCCTCCCTTGCAGCCTGCACACCCCAGATGGTTTTTGCAGGTCAGCATGTGCCATCATAGCTGCTCGCCCAAATGCTTGGTGTACCCATTAGGAGGACCCCTCTTCCACCCTCAGAGGAGCCAGCCCCCCCTCCCCACCCCACACAGCTGGGCGAGTGGCCTGGAATGTGTCACTTGGGCAACGGGCTAATGGTCTCTTTCAAAAGAATTGCTGAAGACAAGGATTCTGACCTTAAACATCTGATTAGCACCCTTGATTCACTTCCACCTGTTTTTGCTACCCCTCCCCAAAATAATCACTCTAGATTTGTTGGTCTCTGGGTTCTTTTTGAACAAATTTCTTACTTCTGTGTGTCCCCAGTTCCTTTTGTACAATGGGGATAATCATAATGTTCTCCTTCCAGCAGCTACAGAAGAATACTGAGGCCTGAGAGTGGCTTATGCAGCAAACATTTCTCCCAATTCTTAGGGCTGGAAATTGGAGATGAGGGCACCACGTGCACAGGTGCTGGTGAGAGTCTTCTACAGACAGTGGGTCTCTTCTTGTGTCACCAGGAAGGAAGCGAGCCAGCTGGGTCTCTGGCCTTTTCTAATTGTGGTGGATTAAGTAATGCACAACTTGGAATGTCCAGCCTAACTGAATCACCGTGGTCTGTGCATGGGGGACCCACGTGAGGATTGTTGCCAACAGCATAAAAAGAGAACTGGAGGGAAGGTTGGGGCTGTTGAGAAGCTTGCTGAGGTTTGTTTCCTGATCAAACTTTCCTGTTCTCATGGGAGGAGGAGCTCAGGGCCTTGCTGTCACTGGGATTGGCTGCTGTTCTATCAGGGAGCTCCGATCTTCACTGTGAAAGTCACTTCCTGGCTCCAGTGTGGATCCCTCGGCCTGGTGGCTCAAATCCTTCACCCTGTGGGAACAGGTTTTCTGGCTTTCACCACCTTCTTTTCACCAGAAGGCTTTTGGGCCTTCTGGGCACATATCCTAAATACTGATAAGCATGAGACATTGCCTTGGGCTGTAGGCCTTTAACTGGACTCGTGGAGGACATTGCCTTTGACTCCAGGCCTTCAATTGGACTCATACAGGGACATTGCTGAGGGATCTTTGGGTCTCTAATGTGCAGCTAGATCTCTTGCACTCCTCTGCATTTGACTTTTTGGATGACTGTTTTAAAATAATCCCATAAATTATGTGTCCTATATTAAATCTATTCCTTTGCAAACCCTGACTACAATACTAATCCATTAATAAGGGTGCCACTGTCAGGACTCAACCATCTCCCAAAGCCCCCTCCTCCTAATGCAAAAACATCCGGGCTAGGGTTTCCACATATAAATTTTGGGGTGACAGACATTCGATCCATAACAGATAGTATTTACTCCATAAAACTGTTCTGAGTGTTGAATAAGATTAAAGTTCTGGGCCTGGGATTTAGCTCAGTTGCACCACGCCTCACAAGTACAAGGTCCTGAGTTCTATCCCTGATACAAAAAACAAAACAAAACAAAAAACATACAATTAAAGCATCTGACATAGTGTATTCTGTCTCTACAAGTTGGTTTTGAAGTTTTTTCTTTCTCTTCTTTCTTTTTCTTTTTTCCCCCAGTACTGAACACTGAACACAGGACTTTGTGCATTTGCCACTGAGCTACATTCTAGCCCTATTTTTTTAAATTTATCTATGTATTTCTCTAAGTTACCTTTCTCATTGCTGAGACAAAATACCTGACACTCAAAGTTAAGGGAGGAAAGTTATTTAGCTCACAGTTTGTAGTGGTTTCAATCCATAGTCAGCTGGCTCCAAGGCGGGTTAGATGGCAGAGGGACATCACAGAAGAGAAGCAGTTCATGTCAGGCAGAAAGTGAAAGCAAAGGGGACAATCACAGCTCTTTCTATCCCTTAATAGCTTATCCAGGCTGCTTAGGGCAGGAAGATCTCACACCCTTAATCCTAGTGCCCTTGATCCTAGCGTTGCACCATGAATCCATCCCAGAGTCACACACCCTAGATCCAGCCATCTCTGAAAAACCCCCACCTATGACGACTGCATGAGGCTTTGAGGGACATCTAGACACACACTGTAACTGTATTTAATTATTTTATTTATTTTTGAGGCAGGTTCTTGCTAAGTCACTAAGTTGGCCAGGGAGGCCTCAAACTTTCAATACTCCTGCCTCAGCCTCCCACAGTGCCAGGATTACAGCTGTGTGCCACCTTCCCAGCTTGTTTCTTTTCTAATCTGAGTGGCTGCTGCTGCACACTGAGCACTGAATGCTCACCATTACTGCACTGGTTGTCTCTATCCAGTGACTCAGTGATCCTCACAGCCCAAACTCATGAATGCAGCAGTGTGTCTATGTCTTGCCACCAGGAAGTGAAGAAAGGACATTGCAACCCATATCTGAGCCCAGAGCTCATGCCTTTTAACTGAACTAACTGCTTTGCAAATTCATTGTGTCTGAATAATGCTGTTGGAAGAAAGAAATCTGGGGAGATTAGGGATACTCTGAGATGAGGAAAGGGACCCCACACTTAGAACACAACGCCATGATTCCAGAGGTCACCAGGCAGCAGGCCCCCTCTAAGAAGTGACAAGTGAGGACCGCAGAACCCTCACCACTCCCACCGCTGTGGCTTATGTCATCTGCTTCCTGGTTCTCCACAGAGATTCTAGGAACTTGCTGCAAGAGATCAGTGCACACGGTTACCATGTGAAAGCAGGCTGCATGACCAAGGAGAAAAAGGAAAAACAGAAGGAAAAAAGCCTAGCATGCCAGGGAAGATGCTGGTGGACCCTCACAAGGAGAAGCGTGCTCTCTGCTCCTCCCACACCCCTCCTGGACAGCCAAGAGTGCTGGCTTGCTACCGTGCTGGCCGGGGATCACATCATGTTCATTTGGGCACAGCCCCTCACTGACCACGCCAGGGCCAGGCCTGGCACTGGCTCCTTGGCCCTCCTCCTCTTTGCTGAGTCTAGGGAAGAGAGGCCCAAGGGCTGCTCCCCCTTCAAGCATGTGCTTCTCCACGGGTGTCCTCCCCACTCCTTCCAAGTAGCCATAGATACCTCTTTCTTGCACCTTCTCCTTGCCCACCAAACCCACTCAAACAGACAAGTCAAACAGACCTGAGTCTGCTCCCTGGCAGGCCACCTGGGCGCCACTGCTTCCTGTTGCTGCCCCTTTGCTCTCACCTGGGGCTGGGGTGTGGCTTTAGGAGGAAGAGGTCTTCGGTCCAAGGCTCTGAGACCTGACCAGTGGCCCAGCAGCACCTCCTAGGTCAGGAGTCAAAACCCCAGCTAGCAGCAAGCTTCCTTCTGCCTTTGCTTCAGCTCTTCGGTGAGGGGTTGAGGCTGGGAAAGACATGTGTACTCCTGGGTCCTCTGACTTCATATCCATCCATCCAAGGCCATCTCAGTCTCACTGAGATACATGGTGGCAGCCATGCTAGGGAAAGAAGGGAAGGGAAGCAGTAGGTTGTGTCCTTGAGCCTTAGGAGATAAAATGTTGTATCCTTGGTTCTTGGGAATTTGTCATCAAAAGGCCTATGCACTTTCTTGACTCAGAAGCCATTTATTAGTATTTAATTAGTGAAGAGAACAAGTGCAGGAAAAATGGAGATACTGGGGCCTGGGGAGCCAGTTACAGGAGGACAGCAGAGCAGGAGACAGAGGCTGAGTCTTGGGCCTGTGGAGCTAACAAAGCACCAGGACTTAGATCACACCCTCTGATATCCTATACTGCAAGATCTGACAGTGCTCAAGGTGGCCATGCAGGGGCCAGAAGCAGCTCCTGGAGAACTGCCCTTGTGCTATAATGGAAGACAGAGCCTGGCTTCAGACCTTTGGTCTTTAGGGTAAGGTAGGTGGGCAAGCCAAAGCCAAGCCAGAGTTGTGAACGTGGGAGCCCAGACTGCACATCCGTGATGGGTGACTGGGCGGATGGAGACTGGGCTCCAAGGGGACAGTGCGGGGAGTGCTGGCCTCCGGGACACTGTGTGCTCAGGAAGCAGCAGTTCCTGTTCTAAACCCTGGCTTCTTGCCTCCCACAGACTTCCTGATTCTGGGCTTCGTGGCTGTCAGTGCCTGCACTGTGCACATAGAGGGGGACAGGAGGCTCCTCACCTGTATGAGACCTACTGGTGCAGGCCCTGCACTGAGTGACACCACCCTATTCCCTGGGGGCAGAAGGGTCTGCTTCAAGGTGCAGAAGAACTCGCAGAGGTGGCAACGGAGGCTGGGCTGCCCCACACTCCTTAGGGGCAGGGCAGCCTCCAGTGAGACAGCGCCTCCCAACAGGGAGGGGGATCAGGGTTCATGGAGGAGGAGTCTTGAGCTGCCTGGGGGTGCTAGGGCTGGGCTGTCATTCCTATAGGCCCTGGTTCCTTCCCTGTAAACAAGAGTGGTGGATCTCAGAGCCCCTTTGGATTTCACAGTGTGGGTGTAGAATTGCACTTTTGAAGGGTTTGGTGCCTATCAGAAGCTTGCTGTGGATTCCTACTCCGCTTTCTACATGGGCACCCTGCACACTCCCTCTACTCAAGCAGGATTTGCCTGAGCAGAGCCTGTGCCCTGCCCTCTCCTCCTAAATTGTGTTCAACTCAACAAACACTGGCTGGGCCATCCCGTGAGTCTGGCTCTGTGCTGGGCATCACTGGGCTCAAAGCACTTCCATCGTTAGTCTAAGGAAGGAGACAGACAATAAAACCCCATTGAAAATGGGGTAAGAGAGCAGGTCAGTGTAGGGGACAATTTGCTCACTAGTCAGGGAGGTCAGGTTTTTATTAAAGAGTTGGTTTTGAAGCTGCGTTTTGAAGGACAAATAGGAGTTCAACAGATGGGTAAGGTATAAAAACTCTCTAAGCAGAGGGAATAGAATATGCAAAGGCATGAACATATAAAACATATTATATACCTAAAATGTACCAATAAACTTAATACACACACACACACACACACACACACACACACACGGAAGTACGAGGGTGTGAAATAGAACGAAGAGAAGAACACTAGCCAGGAGGCCGAGTCAAAGCAAAGCAGCACAGCTTTCCTGACCACATGTTCTTCCTCCAAGCACTGTCCTGATCCAAGAGTCTGTGAGCCCCAGCGCACCTAGCCGGAGCATCAGACACCCTTCCCTCCTGGGGTCAAAACCCTCCCTTCTTCCTCCATCTCAAAGGCCTGCAGCTTTGTTTCTGCTATAAGGCACGGGACATGGAGGCCCTGTGAGAGGTGCAGGAGGTCCTCCAGTCTTGCCCCTTCCTGCCCCGTATCTCCTCCTGCCCTGCTACCTCCCTTTAGACCTGTGGCTCTCAAGAGAGGGAGACTCTGGCCCAAAGTCCTGATGTGCCTGGCTGTTGTGATGAGGGACACCTCCAATGCACAGGACAGGTCCCCACAGGAGCGGATCCTCGGCCTCAAATGTCAGTGGCACTGGGCAGGCCAGGACCATCCAGGCCCCTGCTGGCAGGGCAGAGCCAGGCCTGGAGCCACCTCTGGGCCTGCATGGCCCAGTTCACGATGCCCCTCTGGGACAGAGTGGCAGCACAATCCTGAAGGAGGTGCCTCGAAGGCCAGAACCTGCCAGAGTCCCCACTCCAGGCAGCCTCTCCGTTTTTTCTCCTTTGGATTTCACTGTTTATTCAGAGGCCTCTGACTCTCTCAGGAACCCCGCAGGCATCTGTCAGGGGCAGCCCCAGGCAATGTGCACTACTTCCAGGACATGGCTTCTGCCCAACCTGGCTCCACTTTCATTTACAGTCCAAAGGGGGCCTTTGCAATTCTTTCAGCCCTAGCCCTGCACGGTGTAGGGAGCCCTCTGTCTCCTTCCTTCCTCCTTCCCTCTTCTTCCTCTCTTCGTGCTCTGTACATCCCTCAGCACCCTGAGCCTGCTCGGCTGCCTCCCCACTTTGGACCCCCTACTCTCTGCCCAGCCAACCTCCCCACACCTGCCCTCTGTGCCCAGAGCTGTGGCCCGAATCCTACAGCCCCCAGAGTGCCCAGTCCCAAGTTTGGCGGCTCTCTGAGAGTTCAAAACTTGGTAACTCTACTTGGTCCTGTCCAGACTGGAGCACAGCCCGTGACCTGGGCTGTCTGGGTTAAACCAAATGGCTTCCTCTCCACTTTGTTACCTGAGTCAAGTTTCTTCCCTTCTCTGTGGCCAGCACCATCTGTAGAATAGGAACAGAAACCACCAGGTGGTGTGAGCGCCTGCTGTGAGGTGAGGCATTTTAGAGCAGGACTGAATGCTAGGAAAAGAGCAGCCACCATTGTTACCTTGCACCCTCGCCTACTTTTGAACCTGAGTTCTGGAGTCCTGACCTTGACCCGCCTGGGGATTTGATCAGGTGACCCCAAGCTGGCAGCCCCACTCCTCCCAAGCTGCGTCTGTACTGGCTGAGCAGCGAAGGTGGGTACAGTTCAGGCAGAAGTCGTTGCAGATCCCCATCCTCACACTGCAGAACTCTCCCGCACACAGCTCCTGCTCCATAACTCACAGCTCTGGGGAGGGGAGGCCAGGCCTGCCTGGTCAGCAGAGGGATCGCAGAGCTCACTGCAAGACCCTGGAGTGGTCCCTGTCTCCTGTGAATGTCCCCTCTCCCCTGCCCACCTCCCCGGCCTCAGCAGCACCCGCACCCCAAGTCAGCTCCCATGAGGTTGGAGGTTTGCGAGCCTAATCATGGGGCAGAGGGGTGGCCTGGGCTCCGGCTGTGGTGTCCTTGCTTTGTCCTTCGTCTGTCCCTGTATGTCTGAAACCCACATACCTCACTGCAAGTCCAACTATCCCCCAAGTCCTCACTGGGCACCAGAACATCCTGGGATAGACTATGGGGCGCTCTGCTGTCACCTTAACCCCAGGAAGCTCTGTGCACTGTTTCCTGCCCCTGCCGACTTGCTCCCTCTGCACCCTGCCCAGCTCCACCCTGCCCAGCAGCCCCATTGCTCTCCTCCATTCCCCCTCTGGGCTCCTGCCTCCTTCCTGGGAGCCGGCCTTACAGGAAATGCCTATTATGGGCTCCCATGACCATCTCTGGAAGAAAGGAGAATTCCAATCTTTAGGCCACCCTTGGGGCCTTGACTTCCAGCTAACCAATCTGCAGGCCCAGGTCTTCCAAAATCTGTTATTAATGTTGTTTCTGTTTGTTAGCACTTTTGTTATTCAACAAAGGATTACTAGCAGTCAGGTAGGGCTGGTCTAAGGCTCCTCTCTGAGTGGCCTGGTTGGGCCCAGGAGGACTGAGAAGTCCTCTAACTCCTGCCACCAGACTCCTCCTCCACCCTCTGCTGGGATTCCTTCTGGGATAAACAATCGGCATAGGAGTAGGTGATCCATGCTCCCTATCAGATCAGGGATGCCCGAGGGTAAGAACTCCATAGTCCTACACACTGAGACTCCCGCATATGGGCCCTGTCCTTTCTCTAGATTCCTCTCAGTGCTTGGTCCAGAGCACTGTAGGGACAGACGCTCAGTTGGTGCTTTTGCTGGTGAGGCCACCTAAGACTTGTTGCCCCTCTGTCTCTCTCTCTCCCAGATAAATTCAGACCTGATTCTGGGCGTCCTCGAAGGCTGACCTCTGACCTCACCTCCTCTAGATAGCCAGCCATGGTGCTCTTTCCCACCTCAGAATTCCTGAGGCCCAAGATCTATGCCAGAAACCTGCCATGTGCCACATCCTCTGGCTGAGTGCAGAAGTCAGTAGAGCTGTCCCCAAGCACTCTGGCCCACTCTCTGGGACAGTTGGAAGGGTTACGTCCCACCCACTGGAGGTTAGGTGGGGCCACGTGACTTGCCTTGCGTGGAAATGAGGAGTATTTCTTCCAGGTAGATACCTTTAAAGTCAGTACAGATCCTCCTTGACTTAGGAAGAGGTTGTACCCCACAAGACCCATTGTACACTGAAAATATCATAAGTCAAAAGCCTACCCGACCCACAGCCAACCACACATTACACCGTTCCCCTCGTGATCACATGGTGAGCTGAGAGCTTCTGTCACTGGAAGAGGATGGTACTGTGTATCACTGCCCAGGAGAAGAGCCAAATCCCACATTTCAAGTACAGTTTTTCCTGAATGTGTATAGCTTTTGCTCACTGTAAATTTGAAAAATCCTAAATGAAACTGTGGTGAATTGGAGACTAACTGGCTGCACTTTCCTATGACAACTGTCCAAGTTCCAAACAATCACTCCTGACTAAGACAGGCTGAGCCCTGCAGATCTGTGAAGGACAAGTAATTATAACCAAAAAGTAAACCTTTGTAGTTTTAAATGGCCAAGATTTTTGGAGCTGCTTGTGGCTGTAGCACAACAGAGCTTTTCCTAGTTGACACATTGTGTGAGCAACCAGGAAGGCCCTTGATGAGCTGGAGATACAAAGTCCATAATGCCTTCTCCTTTTTTTTTTTTTTTTTTTTTTTTAAATTATAGAGACCTTTGGTCC